AGTTGCCAATGGATTTGTAAGAATTTTTCTTCTTTTTTTTATAAGATTTGAATATATTAGAAAAAGAGATTAAATCTGTAAACTTTTTAATTGATTTACTTTAATAATAGGAAATATTTGAATTGTCTCACAATGGATCTCAATTTATTGCGGAAGAAGTGACCAGACATGAAACAGGTCCCAGCGTTGTTATGAATTGCACAACTTACAATAATGAAAAGAAAATTTGGATTGCAGCTGGTCAAGAAAGTCACTGTCAACTTTACAATGTGAGTAGTAAAGTAGTGACTGTGAAAAATGGAGAGGTTATTAAACCAGCTAGTGATAATACTAAGGAAAGTATTAGACAAAGAAAGAACGTGGATAAAGGAGAAGAAACTTATGTTCCTGAAGAAAGGATAGAAGAAATTAAAGATGATAATTCAAATATTAAAAGCAAAAAACTTCAATTAATAGTAAAACCATTAGATAGTGTACAAACAGATTTTAGGTAGGTTATTTTTTATAAAAAGTTTCTTATAATAATTACTTTAACAAAAAATTTTACAGTGAGGTAGAACCACTTCAGAGGATTGTTAGAATTAGTTCAAATGGAAAATTCATGGCTACTGGTGGCACAGATGGTCATGTAAGATTATGGAAGTTTCCACAATTATATAAACTAAATGATCTGGATGCACACTTAAAGGAAATTGATGATATAGATTTCTGTCCAGATAGTACATTGATTGCAAGTGTAGCAAAGGATGGTAAAGCATTTGTGTGGAATGTAAACAATGGTTCAAAGTTCAAAGATCTTATTGGTCACCTCCAAATGGATTAAAATATATGTATAAAAGGTGTAGATTTAGAAAACTGGAGGAAGAAAAATCAAAAATACAACTTTTTATGCTCTCTAATGCTGTAATTGGAAAGAATACTAGCTTTTTGCAAATGTGGGATGTGAATTCTGGAAATATTGTCAAAGCAATATCCTATAAAGAAACTCTATCTGCTTTGGCTGTTTCGGACGATGGGAAATTTGTAGCAGTCGGAACCATGTTTTCTGGTAGTGTGGATATATATATTGCATTCAGTTTGAGGAGAGCTTTGCATGTACCTGGTGCACATAGTATGTTTGTAACTGGCCTAGAATTCTTACCAACTAAATTAGATGGCCCTACTATTGCTAGTAACACTGAAACTGCAGTTGTTAGCATTTCTGTGGATAACAAAATTTGCATACATAGTATACCATTTAGACGTAAGTAATAAATAACTTTTTAATATGGTTTTATGTTATTTTATCAATATTTAAGATTTTGCGCAAAAAGAATAATATTTGTAATTGCTCTGTTACAGACACACTACCATTTTGGTTTGTCATTATACTGATTATTTTCAGTATATGTGGTGCATTCATCTTTTGCAGTTATCTTGGAATATGACGTGAAAGAATATATATTTAATACTGTCAAATATTTTTTCTAGGATTTTTTAATGTCGTCGAATTGTCTCAGACATTTCTTATGTTACAAATTTTAAAGATAGTGTGAGAGAAAAGGTGCAATAATTTGTTCGAATTTTTAAACACGAATGCACGATTTTTGTGACAATAGACATAAAACTATTGTTTAGAATTTGTTCGTTATCAAACAATTAACGTGCAACGTTATTCGTACAATTGAATCTTCATTTCTTTAGATAAAATTAAAACAAATGAAGAATTATTGTGAAATAACTAATTTACTAAAATAAGTTTTGTTTTATTAATAAATGTAAATAGATATTTCTAAATAAGTTTTTGCTTAGATTTACAAATAGTTTCTTGAAGATCAATTTGTATGATATTTTTGTTTGCATAGGAAATACAAATCTTTCCCATTTTTTATTGCATTTATGTAAATTGTATATTATTTACATGTACAGTTAAATGTAGATGTTGAAATGTGAATTGCTATATATTATATTATATAATTTTATTTCATTTTTTTTTTTTTTTATATATATATATATACATATTATTATTACTTTCTTTGAATAATATACAAATCGTGATTTTAAACTTAAGCCTTATCTTAAAACTAAAAATTAGAATAAGTGAAACTTATCATGTATAAATAGCATGCACTTGTCACATAAAGTTTTATCAATTTTATAATGCATTTTATGGAAAATTATGACTTTCCATTCATAAAAAATGATGCCATAATATAAAAATTCATGGGCAAAATATACTTTGTTAAATTAAAGATGAAACATTTAATATATTTTTATATCCTTTTCTAATTTATCTATATATTTAAATGTTTTGACAAATAGAATAAATATATAGATAAATTATTTTTTAAATAAAATTTATATTCCCATTTCTATCTAATTGTAAAAGTGTAAGAATGGTAAGTATTTTTAGAGAAAACTACTGTTGAAAAATATTTAATAAAATAACAATTATAAAAGTTTTATTCTTGAAAATATCGAAAAATTTTTACGAGACATTTTTAGGTTATATTCACATAATATAAAGTCTAAGCTATAAAAATTTTTTAAATTTCAGAAATTTGATATTATTTCCAAAAATTTCTTTCAAAATCAAAACAAACAATACAAAAAAATGTAAATTATTATTATTTCTTTTTTAACAAAAGAAAATTCTATTTCTCTTCCTCAAGATCGAAGCTTAAAATTTTTATAAATTTTCGGAAATTTTTATAAATAAATAAAGAAACAAATCTTTCTTTGGAAAAGAAAATTTTAAGTTTGGATTTCGAAAATATTGAAACTATTCAAAGAATTCGATATCATTGTTGAAATTTTTCATACTTTTGTATTGAAAGATGTAATACAAGATAGCATTTGAATTTTTTTTAGAATTTAATGTACTTATCTTTTGAACTTATCTTTACTATTATTATATTTATTTTTGTAGATATTATTCTCAAAAAAACATTTTTTCATCATTTTACTACTATTTTAATACTAATTATGGAATTTAACATATTTACCTGTTTCATATTCAGCTGTCATGTTTAAAAAAATACAAAAATATATAAAAAAATGTATGTATTTTATTTATATATCTTATATATATGTATATATATATATCTTTATTTTAACAAAATTTATTATATAGAAAACAAATATAAAATTTTTGTTATTATTGAAAAATATATACATACATTTTATACACATTATTTATACATTATACTTTCTTTTTTGAATTAAAAATAAAATTTACTTGTTTTTAATTCGATAACTTATAATATTTTATTCTTAAACCAATTATTTAAAGTGTATTTTTTATTCTTTTTAAAAAAATAATTAAATCATTTCTTTTCCCTTTTTCGAAATTAGCATAAAAGAAAGTAAGAATTAAAGATTACTGCCATCTATCGACTACCAAGATTATCTTTTTAAAATTAGTCAGAAAATGGCGTTCTAAATTCTTATTCTACTTTACCATGCTCTCGAAGAAATATCATTAGCATTCAAGAGATGGCGCTGATAGTTAATTCTTATTCTATTTCTATCCTTTTTCTTCTATTTGTCCTCCTTTTTTATATGTGTTTCATTTGCGGCACTCTGAAGATGGCGTTGATTTTCATATTTTAATCATATCTCTATCCTTCTCCCACTTGTTATTCTTATCTGTGTTGTCAAGAGAAGATTCTTAAAAACCTCACGCTTAAATATGTGCCTATTATAAAATATAAATGTGAAAATATATTTGAAATATCTATCAAATATGCAAAAATTGAGGTTCTTAATTAAGGTTGTTAAGATGTACGATGTATTCGGCAATTGACAAATCTTTATGGACAGAGTAAAAACATCGAAAGATTGCCAATCAAAGAAAGTGCAAGGAATTGCTTTTTCGAACGACGACTCGTGGTCGAAAAGGAATGCTATCTGAAATCGAAAGGTATCCTCGGGCTTCTGTGCAGGTGGGGAAAGGACGAGTTATTAATGACATTTTACGATCTTAACGTTGGCGTTTATCGATGATTTTCAAGGCTGCCAAGAATGTATCATCACGTCCAACAATTAAATCGTTTTCAACTCGATTCTATTTCGAGATTAATGTTCTTGTTCTATCTAAAGTTTTCGAAACTGACTTTTACACGTTGAATAATTTCGAAAGTTGATTCCTTCTTTTTTTTGCACACAGTTTAACTGTCTTATATTAAATTAATCGCTGAAAAAGGTGGAATTTACTTTATCCATTTTTTTTTTTTTTACTAACTTTACTTATTTTACCATAAAAATTAATTCTTAAGAAGAATAAGAATACGTGCATTAGAAATTATTATTTATGTCGATAGAATTTGTTACGTGATTAAAAAACTATTCTCACAAAAGTGTAGATGGTAAGAATAAAAAAAAGAATTCTTAGTTTCGTACAACGTTTATTGTGAAATACTTTAATAGGGACTCTAAGAATTACACACTTAATTACTCTCACTTAATTATTCTTTCTTAAGTGCTAAACGTTAACCAAGTGAACACGGCGCCTCAACGATCGATGAATCAATACGCACTACGCGCCGCAGAAGAAAGGGATCGAGGGATCAGAGAAGGGCAAGGATACGGTGGTTATGTACAAGTTGAATAAACTTACACGAAGAACTCGTTCCTCCATAACAAAGAGGAAATAAATCCCTTCGTTCTCTTTTTTTTTCCTTTTCTTTTTTTCTTTCTTTTTCCTTTTTCCTTTTTTTTTTTTTGCATCGATCACAAAAACGTTTCGCGAACGTCTTCTACGACGGGAATTCGAACTAACTTTCTTCTGCGACAATAATAAGAGAGAGAGAGAGAAAAAGAATCTCAAGGATAAAAACGACGATTAATCAACCAACCAATCGTTCAACTTGTTATAAAATCCCATTCGAAAATATCACAATTAGAAAGAAACACAGTTTAAACTCGTACAAAATTTCGGATAACCTAAAAAACAGAGATGGGATGACAGGTGAATAAGTCGTTCGAAAATGGCAAGAGATTTTTTTCCTTTCCGCGTTTCCCGTTCGCGACACGTTTTCAGCGCGACACCACGTTCAGGCGCGTGTGCCTCGAGAAAATTTCTCTTCTTCCTTTTCCCGAATTTTCATCGAGGATACGCGCCGCACGAACGACCGACCGTTTTTCTCGATCGCTCATTTCTTGTTCGCGGTGAAACCGTCGCCAGTCGGGTCGAGCAGCCATGGATAGTAGTTCGGGCACTCCATGCAAGTGAACAGGCGAAGGGTCTCGCCTGGAAGCTCTCTGGTGGTCAACGGGCAGGCGTTCGGAAGGGAGCAGTAGGGCTGACCTTTCTCGTCGCAGGTCTCTTTCCAGTCCTGGAAGTCTCTCAGCGCCGAGAGCTCCGTCGGTGTTTGCATCCATTTGATCACCTGCAAGTGGAACGAATACGCGTTCGGTCAGACGTCTTAACGGAATTCTCCTCGTAAAGTGATTCGAGCAAGATTATTTTTTGCAACTCTGTTCGATTGAATACCAGAATGCGTGAAACGCGTTTTTGCTTTAAATTTGATTATCCAAATCGATTCGATTATAATGTATGTGCATTTATTTGAAAGTTTGAAAGATCCAGGCACATTTCTTGTAAGTTTGATCGAATATCAATATGATTGGTTAGGCGAGTTTTTAAATTTTTAAATTTGAAATTAATTCTTAATAAATTTATAGAACATGTATCGATAGTATTTGTTGTGATATTAATACAATTTTTCCAGATCTATCAATATTTAATCCACGTGCTTCTATTATCAAAATAATCGAAGCGGAAATCCTGTTTCTCCGGAATGAAACCAGCATAATTGTAAATTACGAATCGATCGTAGGGGCGTAGCAGAAGTATATACGGTGAATTCATCCAGAAAAAAAATAGAGAAAGAAGAAAGTTCGTATCGCGGGGTTGGATTGAAAACGGAAAACGAATCGACGTAAAGAGAAATAATAAAAGCAAGGTTTGATGGATCACGAATGAGAAACGTCGTGATGCGGCGAGATTGGAAACGTCAGATAAATTGAACTGTATCAATCGTGATAAAGGTTCCAACGAGTTCCACCCTGCATTAAACGATATCCACGCAATATCTTTAAAAAGCAAGAAAAATTTTACTCCCTTTCTTTCGAAACTCGATTCGAAAATATTATATCTTGCAAACAGTTCTATAGTTTTACAATCACTTCCTGAAAGGAGATTATTAATAAATAAGTAATTAAATTCGATTGGAAGGATTAATAAATTAAATAAACATCATTTAAATTTTAATCTAGATTTAAAGATAAATTTTGATTTGTAACTTAATAATAATATCTTTTGAAAAAACTTTAAGATAAAAATGCAGAAATCATTACGTTACATACATTTGATTTGAGCTCAAATCAGTTTGGTTTCCATCTACGATAAAATAAGAATTAATTAACACGAAAGGACAATTTAATCTGTAAATTAATTATAATAATATTTTGCCTCTTTGTAGGGAAAGATCTTTCAAAAGATACATTCAAGAGGAGAAAGAGAAGGACGTGCTCACCTGGACCATGGTAACGAAGTACACGTCGCTCCTGGCCAGCATCTCCTCGATGAACTTGATCAACTCCTCCCTGTATTCCTTCTTACTTTTCAGCCACGAGGCGTGGAAGTGAAGGCCGAGAGGTGCCCTGTTGCTGTTGAAGTGCCTGTTGAAATTGTGCCTGAGCAGCCTGGCGAACTGTTCTCCCGTCTGAATGTTGCTGCACGAGTCGACCATGTGACAGCCGGGCAGGGACTCGTCGAAAGTCGGGTCGTCCCTTCTGTCCAACTCGTTCATCACCATTTCCCACACGGGATGGGATCTGGACGGGCAATTTCCACCGTTCCCGTTGCACTTGTGGGGCATCCTGAAGTAGAGAGTGTAGGGCCAGATGGGCACACGGCCCAGGGACGCGGTTATGGACGCGTCATAGACAAAGAACTGGTCGGCCATCATCTCGAACTGCTTGTTACCGCCCACTCGAAGGTAGGGGGCTCTCATCCCGATGATGGAGCCATCTGTGATGTTTGCGAAACGTTCGATGATCAGCCTCGCGCCGGCCATTTCCGCCAGCCAATCGTCGTAGCTGCCCTGGGTCCAGTATTGGGGATCGTCCTTATGGGTCAGGGAGAACACTGCTATTTCGTGGCCACGACGGTGGAGATCTTGGACCGCCGAGTAGTTGGTGTACTTGTGAGAGACGAAGAAGGTTCCTCTGATCTGGCAACCGTTGGGATTTTGTCGCTGCCCGTTGAAAATCTCCTCGTAGAGGTCGATGTTGTCCACGTTCACGGCACCGTTGAACGTGATCGTGATCATTTGGGGCACTTGGGACGGCTCGATGTTCCCAGGGATCCTGGTGCCGTCGGCGGAACAGTAGCAGTCGGGGAGCACGCATTGGGTTGGGTCGCAGTCAGGCGCACGGTTCGGGTCCGTTTCCACCGCTGAAAAGAAGGACGAATTAACTTGGATGGAATCGTTGGGAGGAAGTTTGAGAAATTTAATTTAGAAGAGATAAGAATAGATTCTTCTGGAAAGATAAAAAAAATGTATATATATATACTTTCGAAAATGATATATCGTAAGAAGAAGAATGTCGATTTTATATTCAGAGAGAAAGACAAAAAAGAAAATACAATATTAATCACAAATTTAACCTTTTGATCTTTTCATATATTCGCATCGTGGAATGTTGAAGAAAAGAAAGTAATAATTTTTACTCGAACGTATCAGCACGTGTCTCCTCTACCAGTGGTTTTCAACCAGTCGAAAAAATTAAAAAATATTTTTTCTTCGCAAAAAAGAGATAATAATTACGAAAATTCAAAGAAGGTTAGGAAACCACTATCGTACAAATTATCGGTGTTCCAATTCGATTACCAAAAGGAGCGCTATTAAATCGACACTTACTGCACGCATTCTCGTCGGATTCGTCCTTGCAATCCGGTTTACCGTTGCAGAAGAGCTCCTTGTCGACACACTCGCCGTTACCACACGATAATTTGCCCTCTGGGCAGACTGGTTCGTCGGTCCTCAGGATGGGCAGCACCTTACGCGGTTCTGCAAATTGTAATCCTCGTTAACAGGATTTCGTCGCCTGGACGATAACCAACACTACTTTGGATCGGTGTTTTCACCACAGCTGCAAATTCTACTTTTACTTCGCCCAATTTATATGTACAAATATCGTGGCGCGTTCACCAGTGGCGCAGGAACCGGTATCATTCTACTTGTGGAGGAATTGTATTACGAAGGAAATCGATCGATCTATATGTATTAAATGTATTTGTGAAATATCTTTGGAGGATTTTAAAATGTCGGCCATAAATCGATTAAACTGTAAAATATTTTTATAATGTATATAATTTTTGCATCGATATCCAAACATGTCTCACAAATATATTAATACAATTTTACAGAGACCATATATTACAATAATAAATTTATTTATTCTCCGTGAATAATACTCGAAAAGATTAAAGGTTGTTACTGTGCGGGATTAATTTGACCCAAAGCTACGGTACAATTACCAACTCGATACTAATCCCTCGCCTTATATGCTCTTTTTATTTTCAACAATTATTCAAAATAATATTAGCCTTTTATCGCAAATAATAAAGAATCGAAGCTAAAGCCAGAGTTAAAAATAAACTTTCTTACGTGATATTATAAGGCAAGGGATTAACTATAATAACCTAATTCATCTTGTAAGACCAGTTTCCTCGGGCCCCCGTGTAATCTGGTATTTATATACACGTGGACTTTATGTACAGGTGTGGGAAGTTCTCTGAACACCTTTGACTTCTCTTCATCGTGGCTTTCAATATCGAACATGTTAAAATCGATACATCTTTTATACGATAAAGCGTCGACGAATCGTCAAAGGTATCGAGGTAAGAGGATTCGAATTATCCTTGCGTCAACAGTTCCTACGCCACTGCGTATCAACCAGTTTTTCCGTTTGCCTCTCTTCAATTCCTTCTTGTTCAAGGAATTTCTGACTTCTAGCCGACTGGAAAAGCGAAAACAGAACCAACGTGATGGGCGTAACAAAGAGAACTTTTGATTTTCCATTTCGCTGGGAAATGAAAAAATTGGAAAAAAAAAAAAAAGAAAAAGAATCCTTGTGTCGAAGATTCTCCTCCCTGGAGCAATCGTAGATTTCTCTACTGAATTATTTATCCGAGAAATCACTTCGAGATCGTTTGCAGAAGGATCTTAATAGAGAGAAATAAAATGGCAAAGAGAATAACGAAATGAAAAAGGAACGAATCACGGTTAGCCCATCACAAGAAGTGTGTCCAAGTGTCGAGAGTATCGTTTGTTTCGTTGGCTCGCAGCGATTTGCACGCAGATAATTCCGTGATAAATATAATAATATGATAAAGAGAAAAGAATAGAGACACTTATACATATATACGCACACAACATATACACTGCACATATAGTGCACGTACACTGCACATACACATATATACATACACGCATTGTTGAGATAATAATGAGATAGAGATAATAGAAAATACGGTGATGAAGAGATGGGCTGTTGCGAAAGGCGAAAACAGGCAGCGGAGAATAAAAAAAGTTGAGGCGGTGCCTCGACGTGCCACTCGTCGAGGGAATACGACGCGAGAAAAGAGAATTGCAAGTGATTCAACACATACACACGCGTGCACACGTATACAAGCATACATACAGTGAGCAAAAGAAGAGAGAAAGAGAGAGAAAGAAAGAGAGAAAAGACGTGAACACACGAGACTGCTCTGATTTAATTTCATTTGCGGCGTTACGCTTTCGAGTAATGCAGTTTGCTCGATACGTAAAGAAATATCTTCGTGGATATATCTTCGTCGAAAAAGAAAAATGAAAGCGAACTTCGTCATTTTTTCTTTTTCTCGTACATCTTTTACATTTAAGAGGTTATTTCATTTCTCTCGAAATTATAACTTTCGACTATAACTAATCGGTCATTTTTAATCATTTATGACGCAATGATCCATTGTTACGATCATTGATGTTCAAGAGGATATTCAGAACGAGGTTATACGCAAAAATCAATTGACTGTAAAGTAAATAGATCAATAATTCACGATGTATCGTAAACAGAAAATTTCAATATATTTCTTTGTACGCTACGCGATTAACTCTGTCAGGGCCAAATTATAAAGAAGAGAAAATAAGTAAATTTATCTTTACGAAATAATTAACAAATGAATGAATTTGTCTTTTCTGAGTACAGTATTGCGTATACTAAACAATTCAAAAATGAAAAAATTAAAAAAGAACAAAAGCTAACCTATAAAATTCTCTTTTGATCAATGCCATCGACATCGATCGATTATATCCAAATTACATCGAAATGTTGAAATTTTTTTTTTTAACCAATCGTATTTCTTTTCCGCGAGATTAAATCAGAGCAGGAGGTCCCACGGGAAACACTGAAAACACACGAATCCTTCGAAACGGAAGCGAAAGAATATAACTCGGTTGCGACAAGCACACAACTGAAGTGACGGTGAAATAATGGCGGTCAGCGCAAGAAGGAGAAGAAAAAGAAAAAGAAGAAGAAGAAAAGAAGATAGACAGTTACAAAATATCGCCTTAAACGAGAATGAGATGATATTAATTATTCCGTGAGATAGAGAAAGAAGGAGGGAGAGAGAAATTAATGAGATCGATTCGCGGCGATTACTCGCGCGAGTTTCGAGTTCGATAAAAGCGAACGAGTCGACTAAAATAACGAAGGAGCCGTTATAAGGAGGCCAGATCGTCGAAGCGAAACGGATCTGGACAAACAGAGCGAGAGGGGCAGAGACAGATATAGAGAAAAGATAAAGAGAGAGAAAGGTAGAATGTGTGCGTATATATATGTATTGCGAGCAGAGAGAGGTAGAAGAAAAAGATATCAGCAATTGAGAACGTGCTACCTCGTACCACGTCGTAGCGAGGAGAAAGAATTGTGTTTGTTGTATATGTTTATGCGAGTATATGAACAAATACGTGAAATATTGATATGTACAAGTGAACAAGAATGTGTTAGAGTGAATTCTATACAAAGCTGAAAAATCGCATTGCATGTCGAGAATCGATTTCGAGAGACGTATCGAAGCGTAGAATAACTTTATTCGTGATTACGTATTTTATTTCATAGATTTTAATTGATGTTAATATTTCATAATTATTATAATAAAATATAAATAATCCTTTAATTTTCATTTTTAATATTCGAATAACTAGAAAACTCAACTCTTTTTCGTCGGCTTTTTATAACCTGCATCAGGAATTCAATCTCTCGAAACGACAGGCGTGGAATGTTAATTAAAAATCGCTTAGGAAGCGAATCGAATTGAGAGATGGGGAAAAAAGCGAGGCGGAGTTTTCATGAGTATTAGTCGTGCAACATGGATCGAGAGAATTGCGTGAATCTGGCAGGAAGAGAGCATCGATAGTCTCGAAAAATTAGGTTAGAACGCTCGAGACACGAGCTTCTCGTCTCCACTTTCGCTCAAAATCGAAACCAGTCTCTCTCGGCAGCGAATCGAAAGTGGCTGAACTGGAGATTACGTCTCGAAAGTGGTCTCGTGTTTGTAACGATCGTGCGTTTTCACTCGGCGAACGTATATACATAGAGCGTTACTTAAACTCGCGTAACTGAAAGATATGCACGAGTGGAAAAATATCGAGTAAAAAATCGCAAAACCGATCTCTTTTGCGTGACTTTAGAAAGTATAGGAAATTAGATTCCATTGAACGTATTTCGAGATAACTGTAATAATAATTGGAATTTCGTTTGTTTGATAGTTAGACAAGAATTTCTTATTCTTGTTATTTAAATAAATACAAGAATGGTTTGGTAATTAAATGCAACAATGTAAAAATGATGAACTTAACCTAAAAAGTAAAATTTAAGAGAAATATACAGGTACGTGATTTTTGATTAATTCTGATTTTGGAGACGAGAAGTATCGTGGATGAATTTTAAAAAGTGCGTGAGGATAATCGTGCATTAGTACTACTATCTTACGAATGGTGCGTGCTACGTTGCGAGTCTACGAAGGAGCCGGGCTTCTCCGTACATTTTTTAAAGAATTTTTCATCATTCTCAACAGGAGAACGAATGAAAAGAATCTTGTCAATAAGATGTTCTTTCCATGAATGTGCGTTATATTTCATTTTATCCTCTTACAAAAAAAAAAAAAAAAACCGTCTTTTGAAAAAGAAATTCAAATTCCTTTCTTAATGGAAAAGAGACGAGAAGTTGTTTCTCATCGCTTCTCCTATAATATCGATATCGAAAACAGTTTAAAGCAATTTCAAAAAGAATCCGATATTTATGTCTTATATCTCTTTCTCTTTTCAGAGATATTCTTCTCACAAAAGGAACGAAAGATCGCATGGAACGCATTCCTTGGAAAGAGCACAACGGAAATGAAGACAGAGTACACCGGCTCACCCTGGTCGATACATCGACTTACTCTCGAGCTTGTCACAGTTGGTGACTTTGCCCTTCCAGTCGCAGGTCTGTTTGTCCAAGTCAAAGGCCAACCCACTGGGGCACGTGATTTGCTTCAGGCCGGATTTCGTGCACCTATACGTGTCGGACAGAAAACAAGGGGACGCCGTTTAATCAAATAGAAATCTGTATGTATCGCTTACTCTCGAGTTGGTCGCAATTCTTCACGTTCGTCTTCCAGTCGCACGTTTGCCGCTCAATGTCGAACGCCAGACCTGTCGGACATCGGACTGTTGCCAACCTGGTCACGCCAATCTCGCTTGCTTTGTCGCATCTGTGATTCAATTTTATATATATATATATTATATTTTTTTTATACGTTTGATATTTGCAAATTATTATTTCTTCTTCCAGATTTTGGATAGCTGGTAATTTCTGCTTGCCATCATCTCAAGACATATTCTAATTAAGGAAGGTTGAGAATCATAAGCTACGTGGAAATTATTTTGAGAAATTTATATTTATAAATTAATATTTAAGCAAATAACAGATTTCTTCATATATTTTTATATTGTATGATCTCAGTATTAGTTTGTAATTCTATCGATTTTTAATTTTTTAAACAATTTTAATATTATACATTACATATTTTAATTGCAGGTACTATTCAATAAAATTGTCAAGTCAAATTATTATCCATTAATATCCAATTGTTGTATCCTGAGAAATTTTAAACTAGTACGTATAAAAAATTGTAACAAGTAAATTTTTGTTAAAAATTAAGAAGTTGAGATAAAATTATCATAAACACAGTTAAGGAAACTCGTCGATTTCTTCCAAGACGCGTGACATTCTGCGACAGGATCTGCGACAGGATTCCTGCTCCCGAGATATTTTTGTATGTCCTTGACGATGGAATACTTTGCCCATTCGTGTGAGTCAGGATACACCGTCTGTCGTCATCGTGTAGAAGGCGAGTCCTGTATCTAATATCAGGCTCACCTTGAACCTTCTAACGCGGAATTCGATCGCGAAGGAACCGAAGGAATTCAACGTTTGATCCTTCGCATAAATTGCTGTTTTTACCGTTAACTTGGCCTTAAATCTTCAAGATTTCTCGTTGCAAAATCGATTACGATTTGATTTGTACGATCGATCAGAAATGTTTCTTGTAAAAAATTTTGATATTTTTGGACGATGATGCGATTTCTACTCGTTGTAGAATCGACTCGACGAGCCATAAGGGAAAGATTACGTCTTTAATCAGAAATGCTTGTTTCCTGTGAAAAACTTTGATATTTTTGGACGATGATGCGATTCTTTAACCTTATTTTGAAGAAAGATTGTTCATATTGAATTTTTTAAAAGTCGTTTTCTCAACGTTAGTTCGACGGAATGACGACAGATGGCGACTCGAAATGGTTACGTTGAGCTTTATTGGTAATTCAGCGAAATAAATTACCTTACGACGTCACGACAGTCCCCTTCGACGTTCAACCGGAAATACTCGTCCCCTGGCCTATCTTGACACAACTCTTCGGCATTCGCGTCGATCCCATCCGCGCCTTCCTCGTCCTGTGCTCTAACTTGTGTTCCTGAAAATTTAAATACGACGTTAGACAAAGGATAACAATAACAATTAATAATAAATTTGAGAAAAGTAATTGCGTGGATTTATTATTCGAAGTCGAGTAATGCAAATGTGAGAAAAAAGAAAAAAGAAAAGAAATAATGGAAAATGTTGGAAAGTAAAAAGACATTACAGACAATTACGTACTACTTTCTATCATCGATTACATAAACGACTCTCGATCCATCAGCACAATCTCTAACGCAACTTTTCAACATCCTTCTCTTCCATGCTTTCGTTCCATAAAATAATCTAACGACACTAGATTCTTGATAATTTGAAATTACTAAACAGAAATTTCGCAGTTTTTCCCTTCCATGAAAATATTACCAAACCAAAAAATAATCTATCATACGTCAAACGTAATTTTCAATCATACACATCTAAAAAATATTATTCCATAAAGAGTGAGAGGAAAAACTTTTCTGATAACTTTTCTAATTTCTCAGATTTATCATCGATGGAAAAGCAGAAAATTAAGAGAAATGGACGCATCGACTCCATCGATCTCCCCCCGTCCTCGCCATTTTTCGCGATTGAATTAGCAATCGAAGAAGAAGAAGAAGAAGAAGAGGAGGAGGAGAACGAATTGACATCGAACGTGACATTTGAATAAAAAGGGCAGATTGGCATTGCTAAGATCGTCCGTGGAAAATGTCGCGACGGTTGGAAGCCACGATCTCTCGAGATCGTAAACGTACACGACGGGGTCGGTGAACCCTGATAGAAGTAGAAAGTCTTGGAAATGTCAGGGCAACGAAGTAGAGGAGGAGGAGGAAAGGGAAGCGACAGTGGTTCTCCAAAGTAGGTTCTTTCACACAATCCTCTCCGCAGTCCTGATCGAGCAAACCTTCGTTCGTGATCAGCGATCGTGATCGACGCCACTTCCGGACGACTCGTCTTTGGCAAAACTTTCACGTCCCACGAGACCGTGTCTCGTGAATTTTATTTTATATTTGTCTGGGGACAATGGAAGGTTATTTTCCAACGTATCTATCCATCTTTAGCGAACTTTATTTCATCGTGTATCCATTAAGTATTTTTTAAATATTAACTTTTTGATCGAATGATGATGTTGTCAATGATCGTTGAAACTTCTCGAACAATAATTTCGTAAAAATTGAAAATAGTCGTCTTTGGATTGGCTTGGTTCACCATTTAACCGCGGCATCAATCGTTGAAGTCACCAGAACTTTCATCGCGGCGAGCCAGCTTCTCCATTCTCGAGACATTTATGGCGACAAGTATTCTCGAGACAACCTTCGTTTAATCCTTTGCAATTATTTAAATTGAGACATATTTTTAACAGAGTCGTTGAATCTGAGAATCGGAAATTCACGAAACAATGCTCGGTTTCCGAAAGTTCTCGTGTGTGAAAACTCGTTCAAAAACAACTTTCACCTGCGTTTACAGAATCGGAACGTAGATTTCCAACGTGTTTCTCCTCAACGAGAAATCAAATTTATTACCGCAAATATTCTCTCGATTCTTTCGAACAAACTTTCACCCCAAACGTTTCGCGAGACTTCAAAATAATTATATCATCCAATAACCCTCAAATCATTCAACTTCAACTTTAAAACCCTTCCAAAAACTATTTTTCGTCGAAGAGAATTCTAAACATCAAATCTAAATCTCTAAACCTCCCCGAACGAATCCAAACAACCCCCTCAACTCCTAACTCTAACCCTGCAAACAAACTCGAGCCAAATCCCTCCACGCCTGGTCCAAACTTCAAATTTCGTGGAAAACGAGCCCCAAGAAGAGAACCGATCGATCGAGAAAATCGATCGACGAGACACGGTCGAAGGTGTACTCACCGGCAAGCAGAAATAGGGATCCAAGAAGGAGCAGGAACCTCGGCGACATGGTGGCCGTCGTGGTGGTCGCCGTCATCGTCGTTGTCGGGACAAAGAGCGTCTGGACAAGCCGCGCCCTCTCGCCCCTCTATATGTGCACCACCACTCCTTCCTCTTCGTCCAAGGACTTTCACCATCCGGATGGTGCTGCCACCTTTTCCACGTCGTAAAACTGGCTGGAGAACAACAACAAGGGGGTCCGTTCCTTCCGTTCCCTGCGTTCGTGGAAAGACGAAGTGGGGAGGGGGAGGGGGAGCGGAATTCCATTCTCGATCCTCTCTCGTCTCCCCCCAACCGTTTTCTCGATTTTCGAAAAGATCCGGGAGGAAGAAGATTGGCGGTGGTTTTCTGTTTTCGTATCGCTTTTTCTGTACGGATTGCTTCTCTATTCCGACTATTTCCCTTCCTTCGATCTTGTTTTACTTTTTGACAGGGAAGAAATGCAAGTTTTTATCGTAGAAACCAAAAGATTAAAGAATTGTAATGTGACAGAGGGTATGATAGTAGAGAGGATAATTAAGTAAGTGATACTTATATATTTGTTTTTTATGATATTAATTCGTAGATACAAATGTCGATTTTTTCTTGTTGCAGGTAACAGTAAGTTGAACAATCAATTCTTCGAATCGTAGGAGAAAATGGACAAACGTGAAAACGGAATTTTGCGGATCGTTGACAGAGGCTCGTATCGTCGAGTAATTTTCCACGGAAACTGCTCCACACGACGCTGCTTTTGTCGACTCGATGCTCGAAACCTTGAACCTTTTTCTTTCTTTTTTTTTTTTTTTCTGTCTCAATCCACTTGCAACGAATTTCGAGTTGTGAACGAGTCTGTCCCTCGTTTCAACGGGAAAATAATCAACGATGTCGAAACAATAATTATTTATGTTAATTCTACTCTGTTTGGTATTCTCTGTAATTGTTGTTGTTAATAATGGATGTTAATAACATTCTATGGATTAATGTTGCGAAATTATTCCGTATTTAGAACAATTGTATTTTCCATTGTTTCATCGTATAATAATCGTTTCAAAATAATAGGGAGGGAAGAATTTGTTTTAATACAATTTTTGTTTTTTTTTCTTCCAATACTATTGGAAATTTTATCGAGTATTTTTAAACACTTTGAATATCTCTTTAGATTATTTTTTTTTTTTTAACTATTTTGAATAATTTCGTTCAAATATTTTTTAATTTATTTGCACACACCTCTCAAATGTATGAAATATTAGTTATTTAGCATCGAGCGTTCTTTCAATTCCTTCAATACAATCTTAAATTCTATTGATATTCAATTTCTAAGGATCAGTTTAACGTTTCGTTAAATGCACGAGTAATGCAAAATACGCGCGTAAAGTAAATCAATTAATAGTCAGATGAATAAAGATTAATTAACAGTTACTTTCTCTGCATTCGCGTTTTCAATCTTATTGAACATGCTCTCCGAGGAAACGACTTCTTTTTCTACTTTCTTTTCTGCCTTTTTAAATGTCACACCTCTTCCTTTATGAAATTTTAGTTTTGCTAGAGATAACATCTGTCATAAATATCTCGAATTATCGATCCACACGTATTTAAATATTTTCCAATATTCCCCGGTCATAACGTTATATTATCAGAGATTTTTCATTCAATTTCTGTCAATCACGATCCCAGAACTTCATTAAAAATACAAATACGCGTCTCGATATCTCTAACAATGTACAATGAATCCATCCTCTCGATGTTCTTCAAAGAGGGAAAAAAAAAAGAAAAAAAAAAATTAAATTTTCAAGAGAAAAAGTTAATAGCAAAAAAAAAAAAAAAAAATAATACCAAAGAGATGTTCCAAAATTCTAGAATTAATCTCAACTGACACTCCGGAATCGTGGATCGTATCCCAACGACAATGGAATTTCCAAGATAACAAAAGAAAGAAATACGTCAAAAATTTTAAACACACTCCGATGGAATCATCAACTCACCCATCGTGAAACTCAACTCAAACTAGTTTCAAAAACTTCCACACGAATTCTTTATTTTCTCCGGTTTCCATTTTATACCACTGACCTCGATGCCGCGTGAATTATTCGCGTGCTTTTAAACCTGCTCGCCAAATAATCCTCATTTTTCATTCTTCCACCCCCTTCCACGTGTCCAGCGTGGACCCTCCATCCGTGGCTGTCAGCGCGCCACGCGTTTTACGCAACGCGTTTAATATTCCGACCGAGCTGGGCCGAGATGTACCGGGTGGTTAATAAATTTGCGGTTTACGCGGTAAAAGGTTATCGACGTCGTTCAATAGCGGGATGCGCTATTGCGTTAGATCCTGCATACCGCAATTCGCCGCGCAATCATGCTCGTATTGATCCTCACTCCACGAACGAAGAGTTAGCCGAGCTCGATTATTATCGATCGATCGAGTTCGATTTAAAAACGACCGACTCTCGGGAACAGTTGAATATCCTCGTGCAGGAAGGAAAGAAAAGGTAGCATGATGTCTCGATATAAATATACAAGCAGTTAATAACACGTGACGCTGGTGCCGCTTTAGAAAAGCTTAAGATCTTGCTTAAGATCTTTTCCTTCTTCTGAGAATAGAAACTTGAAAGGAGAAGAAGAAGAAGAAGTGAAAATACAAGCGTCTGAAGCAAAATTTCTAAGATTCTCCAACAGCGAACTCTCGATTTTCGCCGATGACGTGGCGAAACGTTTCGCGAAAGCAAGGAAAATGTACAAAACGGTTTCGTTCTCAATTTCGAAAGTATACGCAGTAGAGTTCGAACATTTGTCTCCAACGAGATCGATACAGGGAATACGCTCGCTTTATAACCGTTCTGGAACCGTGTGTTTCCTTATCTCGACACGTTCCTTGGACAAACGTCGAGCAACGCGCGCGAAGAGGATTTAGAGAGAGAGAGAGAGAGAGAGAGGGGTCGTTC